TCAGTTGGGTTTACTGCCCTGCATAAGTATGGTGCAACTGACAATGAGTATCTCTAATTTCAAAGCACGTTTCGGATGTTGCTTCAGAACAACTTACTCGATTTGTTCAGCGGTCGGAATGAAATTTCTAACTGCTGCTTTCATTTTCGCCTGTTTCGTCCTCGTTTTTAGAGCTTCTTGCCTGGGGTCACCACATCCAGCTTTTTATCAGCACAAACGATATTGTTTGGCGAGAAAAATGTGTAATTTCTTGGGTGATCATCCAGAAATCACCTTTCAAGTAGTTGACACTCGAGAATCCGCCTTCGTCCTAGATTTAGGAAATTTCAAGACCATTTCGCCGAAATCATGCTTTAGAAGCCGTATTAGTATCCCTAACTTTGGCTGTACAATGGCAGGAAAGAACTACCGTGTGCTCAAGCATTCGGTCAACGGTTCTTTCTTACGATAGAGGGAGTTGTCTGACGTCATCCTGTTCGTGACGAAATGATGTAGGTACTTTGTAGCTAACCAAAATCACCAGGGATTCGGTCAACGGTTCTTTCTTACGATAGAGGGAGTTGTCTGACTTCATCCTGTTCGTACTTTGTAGCTAACCAAAATCACCAGGGCAGCAGATAGATCAATGGCCCGGACATGTACTTCACATGTGTAACCACTATTCCCTTTGGGAAGCGTTTTCCATTCGAAGGTGCGAACGTTTCCCAGGAAAGAGGCAGTGATATGACAACGAGAAACTAAAATGATTGCGGTCAAGCCTAATGGCGTGAGATCACTTCTTCTTGCACTTAGTTGAAAATCCCACAGGATGTAGTGCTAGCTTTAAAGAATTTTCAGACAGCTGGTACGCCAGCTTGCGTTCCAAGTTAGACTGCGATTTTTGAAATTGAGTTTCTCCATGGGTCCCATAAATCAAGAAGTTCATGGCCATTTCTCACAGGCAGAATCGCTCCCCGTGGGACGAAATCCTAGTCTACATGGAAGTTGGAATGGCCTCTTTAGGGTTAGGTCTCACAAACTTTGGGGCGGTGTTCGCCGTCCAATCTTGTAACTAACCTATCTAGGGTTTTCGGAGGGAATGACGGAGTAACTTCTCGGCGATTCCGACTGCTAAAGCGAGATTAAAACGAAAAAGCAAACAACGTTCGTAGACAATGTCTAGGCCACTTAATAACTCCAGTAGTTTGATGCAGTAACTGAAGTCATTGACATTGAGCATGGATTACACCATACCACGGTATACCGATTTTTCACGGCCTAGTATTATGTTATTGGAATCCGAACACTTCCGAAGAGAGATCACTCCCAAGGCGTTTCGCCCCAATTAGGTTCGACGGCCTTCTTGATAAAGTCATGAACGAGATGAATACTGGCCAGGTGTTTCATTTTCATCCTTAAAGGGAGGTATGAGAGTTGCGAGGGATTTCCTTTAAGGAGCTTCTGCTTCAAACCACTGGCCTGTTCACGTGCTCCGTATGCCAGTCGACACTTCCTCAAAGAGTCCTTTTCGCACGACCACGTGTAGGCTGTAAAAATTGTTCAGCTGTAGCAACTTTTCATTGCCTAGCTGCCATACCACCCGAAGGAGGCACAAGGGCTGGGATACTGCCAGGTTACCTAAGCCTAGACAGGGGAAGTCGAGATGAGGTCGTCTTCGAACCACGTACCTTCCGGTCAGTAAATTCGCGCTCTAACCACGGACTCATTCGCTCCATTGTAGAATGGAAATGAGCCACGCGAGGTCAATGCTTTCACAATGAGGTTTGAAACCCATTACCAGCAAACCCAGCATTGGTGGTCACTGTCGTTTTTCTGGACGGGGACCTCGAGACGGGTTAGAAACGCTTAGTCACGCGCTTATTGGTTTTCATGCATCCGAACTTTTGCCTTCAATGCGCAGTCACCCCAACGAAACCACTATGTTTGCGCATCATTTAGATTAGCTACCGCCTCCAGTGGATAGCTATCTACCCCGCTACCTTAAGTCATCTTCGGACGAAACTGTGGCAGCCATGAGCACTGTATGGCAAGTACACGATTTCCACAATTGATGATGGTGATGATTTTATAGGCATGGTTTACTTTCACGTCACTGGTATAGTGCTCTTCTTACCCATACACTCAGACAGGGCGGTTGGCAAGCACTAAGCCAGTAGACGCGTCTTATCAATCACCGCATTGTTTCTCATTGAGGAGCTACATAGGAAGGCTGTACGAGTGGGACTTGTGGGGGATGGAAATATGCTTGCGCATTTCGTCGTCTTATCAAAACGCTACTTTGGGTTAGCCCGCGCAAAACCTCCGAATCAGCCGCTAATGCAGCCTCGTACAACATGAACATGAAGCTCCATGAAGCTCCATACATATGTACCTACGCTTGCTGCAATGGATTCACAGCTTGAAATGATATGAAGCTCCGTACATATGTACCTACACTTGCTGCAATGGATTCACAGCTTGAAATGCTTGTATGCTTGCTTTACGGTCCGCAGGTTGGTTAAAGCGCTAGTCAACAAATATAATCCTTTATACCTTCATACGGGCCAACGGACAGTATCACCATTGGGATATTCATCTCTGGTTGTTCGGTTCAGTTTGGTGAATGATTACAAGTTGCCTGTAGATCCAGTTTTCCAGACGAGAATGTGAAATGAGCCATATACTCAAGGAGCAGGGTGCCGAAGTCAACAGATGGGCTTATTCACTCTAGAAGCTTGTACAAAACGCTTTATCGTGATGCAGAATTAACATGTATTTGGATCATTTAACGGCCTTAACCCCGTAGTTACCCCAAGCCGGATGGAGTGACTAAATATTCTCTTGTAAGCAAACTGCTCTAAAGAGGGACAAATTTCCAGCAGATATCACTTTCGGTCTCCAGCTAAAGCAGCTGTTGTTGATCTTACGTCATCGGACTTCACCCAACCCTCTCTGTTCGTTGAGACCTAATCAATATGCAACACATCACAGGCGACCTTGTCTGTTCACCGCATCTCCTTTAACATGCATCCCTTTGTTTCGTTCACGTAGACAAACGCGCCCAGATTAGTTGGTGTACATGTGCTCCTAACTTTATGGTAAGTCTAATTAGTATTAATTGGAATTAATGAAGTATACTCGTGGACCAGGCATCAATTACCTTCCCTTGTAACACTAACAGTTATACCAAAAGGCTATTCACTCCTTACTCTTTTCCTTAGCCCCATTATAGTTCTACGGCTTCTACTGGGCTCTATTCATCCGCGACGGGTTACATTGATCAACACTTACAGCCGATCTCGGCGATACCACCCAACACGGTAGTCCCGGCGCAGTGTGGCCCAACCTCTGCTCGTTTTGAGGGTGACAGATGTAATGGCACTGTTGCGCTGGATCTTCCGCCGTCTTTTCCACCTATCCTTCCAAAAACCTCGCCTTCGCCAACCAAGAGGGACCACAATTCTTCCCGAAAAGATTCTCCTTTGGATCGTCAGGCTCGCAATGAGCGCCGAAGACAGCAACGGCTTCGGAAAAAGCAGGCAGAGGCTGCAACTTACTCTTCTGATGTACCAGACACCGAAACAGCCATCGGGACGGATTCCGCTGTTAGCAGGGTGCTGAATTCACCCAAACCACCCCGCGCAAGACCTCGTAAGGTAGCACGAAACGCTTCTGGCGCGGACCTGACCGATGTGGAGGCAGCTGTTATTGTTAAAAGCGACGCGGTGACACTTCCTGGCGATGAAACCTCAGTGGAAGAGGATCCTTCTAAAACCCCACCGTCACTTAGTAAGAAACGGAAAAGCTCTGCCCGGACAATTCAACCAAGGCAGCAACAGAAAAATGCTCCAAAATTGGAGGGTATTGCCCAAAACGCCGCCGATGCTCCGCCAAATTTAAACGAGTCTTTGGATTCAACCCGAGATCTGTCGCCCACTAATGAATCAACTAGTGAGGTTCCAGTTTCTTCGGAACTCACGAAACAACCAAAGGTTATACGGACAAGACCCCCGAGACCGAAAAAGAGAAAGTAATTTGTCCATTCATATTACTTGACACTATTTTGGATGTCAGTGTGTTTCTCTGATTTCAACTCCACTTGCCAGTGCTAAAAATGTTCACCACCAATAGTAACTGCAGCATCTAGTTGATGTTATTCTGGCTCATGAAAAGTTTAGTGTGAAAATATATTCGGAAGAGAAAGAAATATGAGAGGTGGGGGAAGAAAACACTAGCGTTCCACGATTACCAAGATAGGTAGCGGCACCTCACTCCACAACTGTTTGAATGGACGCTTGAATATGGACTTAAAAGTTATGACCCAACTTCAACGTGTTCGTCTTCCTTTCTAATCTGGAGAATTGTATTACTACCTAAACACCGGTATTGAAACCACGTGTTGCTGTTAGTGATGGTGACGATATTGCTGATCCTAGAAATCGTGATTGCTTAACATTTGCTCACTGGATGTCATTGTCGAACCAATTTATGTGTTGGCAGACATTTGCTCACAGGATGTCATTGTCGAACCAATTTATGTGTTCCTTTCACTTGTCGCCCTCTCAAGCCCAAATGTTTTATATCCTTGAGCGAAGTATTTGTATTCGTTCATGCCTTGTTGGAACATTCAGCAAAATGTCTCTTTTTCCGTTCCCCTCATTTGATTCAATTTATATGGGACAACGTTGCACAAACAGTCCATCAGATCCGGAAAATAAATCAAGGACTCACCAAGCAATGAAAGCAATACTCACCTCAGATCGATTTCATTTTCTGGTTGCTGCCTGGAAATAAACCTGTTACTCAGCTTTACGCCCTGTTCGATCACAGTTGACGTCAGTTTTTTAAGTTCCTCATCGATTTGATTTCATAGGTATGAGTGTTCATGATAACCAACTAGTCCTAGTGGCGTTCGTGCTCTCATTTTCCACAGTGCTTGCTTGTGCTATTTCGAGGCGTAAGCACCTTGAGTACTTCCGGCAGACTGACAACAGGTCCGTTCCCTGCCTACTTTCTTTCACTTTTAGGCTTCAAATGTGATCAAATTAACTGTGTGCTTGTTTGGTAGTGAAGCCTAACTATCAGAGCTGATGTTGCTATGTCCGTTTATGCTGATTTCTGTTAGTTGTAATGAAGGAGTTTCCATTCCTTGTTTCATTCGAGCCCTGTAGATTTACCTTGGCAATTGTAAAACAGAGGGTCCTGACTCTTCAAACAGTGAGGGAAGTTGACCGTAAGTTGCAGATCCTTTAAGTTATGAAGAAACCAAACCTTATTATTAGACCTTCGATATATTTTCCCCACCCGCACCACGCCTCATTTACTCTAAGTCGACTGACCTAAAGGCCTTTTGTCCCAGCTCTGGTGCATACGACACCCGTCGAACATCAGTTTGTCCAGTGTTCGACGTCGAACTGAGCCTTATTCATACATCATTACTAGATTTACGGAGGTTTCGGTAGGGGTGAGAAATGAAAGCAAACCCGTTGGATCGGAATCGTAAGACAGGACTATTCTGGAAATAGATACTGGCTCGTGTAAATCGGCCGCCTAGGCAGTGTCTTTAACCAGGGTTCAAGCATTCAAGTCACCCGAACAGCTGAACAAAGAATTCTATCCATTAAAATCCCGTACACTTTACTGAAAGACCACATTAGGCGGTTTTCATCCGTGGTGCTTGTTGCATCCCTGCCAGGCAATTACTCCGCCACTATTATTATTACTACTATTATCATTATTATTTTTACGCATTCTATTTAGACCCCTTCCAACGCTTATACGGAAGAAGAAACGGTCCAATTTTTATGGAGATGAGTCTGATTCCGAACCTGACATATCTGTTCGACTTGGCGGCAGCGGTAGAGGTTTGGATGGTAAAACTGATCTGTCAGCAAACACCGACCATCTCTCAATGGGAGTGAGTTTTAGCAACCATTTTCCTCGTAGATTTTGGGTAGCTCTTTTACTGTCTACTTCGCGTAAAGGACGAGGCAGCTTCACCAATATCGGCCTAGGATATTTTGCAAAGTTTTGTGGTGAACATGAAGCCTTATGGTTCCCGCTAGTTGTCCCGTTTCCAACTTATGCAGCGATGTAATCCTGCTATTGATTCGCGGGGCGAATGTTAGTGATCTGTCCGAGATCGGGGTTCAGTGACGTTTGTCCTGCTGAGAATCAAGCGGGATTTCGATCGGGTAGAGGCTGCGTTGACCACATCTTCACACTCCGTCAGGTGTTAGAGCAACGCCACATGTACAGACGACCCACAATCCTGGTATTCCTTGACTTCAAGGGTGCGTTCGATTCTGTTGATCGATCAGTTCTGTTAACTACACTTGCTCAACAGGGTATGCCCCAGAAGTTTGTAAACATAATCCGATCTCTATATTCACATGCTTCTGGGCGGGTGAGGGTGTATGGTGAGCTCTCCAAAAGCTTTCCTACAAAAAGTGGTGTCAGACAAGGATGCCCACTCTTCCCATTTTTGTTCAACTTCGTCATCGATGAAATAATGAGGCGAACACTGGATGGTTTTCAAAACCCCGGTGTTCAAATTGTTGCTGGCGAGAGCCTTGTCGATCTGGAGTACGCAGATGACATCGCCCTCATCTTTGAAGACCGTAGTGAAGCACAAGCCCTGTTGAATAAACTGACCGCCATCATACCATCATTTGGCATGCGCCTTGCACCTTCAAAGTACAAAGTCCTGCTTCAGAACGTGCCATCTGCGAACATATCCTTTACAATTCAAGAAGAACTACTGGAGATTGCGGAAAACTTTACATTACCTCGGTAGTTGTATTAGCTCTGACGGAAGTGTGTCTGATGAAGTCAGTGCAAGAATCTCAAAGGCTCGAATCACGTCTGCTAATTTGCGTCACTTGTGGCGTCAAAAAGGCATCTCACTAGATCTTAAGGGTCGTGTGTACCAGGCTACAGTAAGGGCTGTGTTCTTGTATGGATGCGAGACATGGCCTCTTCGGGTAGATGATATGAG